AAGTAAAATGTCACATGGACAAATGTCATTGGGTGAAATTTTACTTTTAACTTTATGAAAATGTCAGACAGTTACACTAGACTAATTCAAGATGGCTGCCACAGCAAAGCAACTTTATCAAACACAAACATGGCTCCAGTTCAGTCAGGTTTACAAAAACTGAGCTAAAGTTTGGTTTAGTAGTAGCTGAGAGTCATCCTGAATCAGGCCCTCTGAGTGATGACAGATTCTAATTTTTGACTCAAAACACCACAGTTCATCACATGATCATCTCAGGACGATCACAGCCTGAAACACTGTCAGGTGGAAGGCGATATGCATTCCTTCAATAAACAGACCCTTTTTTAAACATGTAAGAATAAATCAGGTGTGAACTGTCCAGCTGAGTTTGAAGCGGCTGGGATGAGGATCAGCACCTCCAAATCTGAGTCCATGGTCCTCAGTCGGAAAAGGTTGGATTGCTCTCTCCCGGTTGGGGGTGAAGTTCTGCCTCAAGTGGATGAGTTCAAGTATCTTGGGGTCTTGTTCACGAGTGAGGGAAAAATGGAGCGTGAGATTGATAGACAGATCAGTGCAGCTTCCACTGTTTTGTGGACTCTGTACCAGTCTGTTGTGGTGAAGAGGGAGCTGATCTGTAAGGCAAAACTCTCTGTTTACAGCTCAGTCTACGTTCCTACCCTGATCTACAGTATGGTCACGAACTTTGGGTAGTGACCAAAAGAACAAGATCACGGATACAAGCAGTTGAAACGAGTTTTCTCGGCAGGGTAGCTGGACTCTCTCTTAGAGATAGGGTAAGAAGTTCAGGTTATCCAGGAGGGACTCAGAGTAGAGCTGCTGCTCCTCCACGTCGAGAGGAGCCAGTTGAGGTGGTTCGGGCATCTGGTTAGGACGTCTCCTGGATGCCTCCCTAGGGAGATGCTTTAGGCATGTCCGACTGAGAGGAGACCCCAAGGAAGACCCAGGACACGCTAGAGAGACTACGTCTCTCGACTGGCCTGGGAACTCCTTGGAGTCTTCCCAGAAGAGCTGAGAGAGGTGGCTGGGGAAAGAGAGGTCTGGGCTTCCCTGATAAAGCTGCTGCCCCCGCGACCCAACTTCGGATAAAGCGGAAGATAATGGATGAATGGATGGACTGTCCTCATCTGTTCACCTGTCCTCCTGTCTCTGTCCATCAGTTCATAAACTCCTAACTGCTGATCTGTTTCCGTTAGTGTGTGTGCACACCTTGATTCTGCGTATGGCGTAGGTGTGTCCCAAAAGTTGATTGACAGGTTGTCGGACGTTCCTCAGGTCCCACACACACACGCTGCAGTCCACTGAACCAGTGGCCATGACGTTCTGCAGACAAAAAAAAAAAACATCACTTCCTTTGAAACCATATATGGACTTCCTGTTACACGTTTAATACAACAGGAAACTTTTGTTTTATTTTTAAGGTTTTATTTTTGTCTGATCAGGTTTCAGCTTTTATGTTTTTATTCTTTGTTTGGTTGACTGACTGACTGACTGACTGATTGATTGATTGATTGATTGATTGATCTAAACTGACATTTAAATTTAAACAATCACAGGTTTAAAGCAGAATATGTTTGAGCTCTAAGGTTTAATGTATCCATTCTCTTCTTCTTTTAAAGATTAAATAAAAAGTTTAACTTTATTAATGTGCAGGTGTGTCGTTACCTGGTCATATTTGCACCAATCACAGCTCAGGATTTCAGCCTTGTGCGCAGGGATGGCCAATCGGCACGCTGCAGCCTTCACGTCCCAGATCCTGAGGGTCCCATCACCTGAGAGCAGACAGCAGACGTTTACCCAGCATGCACTGCAGCATCAGGTCAAGCAGACAGGAAATAACATTTTATACCAGCTGAATGAGTCTCATTAACAAAACAGAATAATAAAAAAAGATTATGGGAAATTATTTAAAAAGCTGAAAGAGTTGTTAAAACTGTTAAACAGAAGGTAAAATATTTAAAATTATAGGGAAAGTTAGCAAAGTTTACAAAATCAAATATAAAGTAAAAACGTCAGCCAAAATGTCCTGAACAAGTGGAATGGTTAAAGTAGCTGAAATTGTGCTGAAGTATTTCCAGAATATAAAAAATAAACAGGAAAATACTGAATCTGCCTTTTTTTAATCTTCTCAACAGCTAAAAACAACTTCCTCCATAAATTATTCAGAGCTGAAACAACAAAGATCTGATGGGCGTGGTTTATTTTGTACAAAACATAATAACCTGAAATGATTTACTTGCTTATTTGATTGTCTGAAATGTTTCATTAACAAATAAAAAATAAGAATAAGTAAATGTTTGACATGTTTGAAAACTCTGTGCATCATTTGGAAGCTGGTGTGTATTTCTGTTCCTTAGATGAGCTGCAGACAGAATCAAAGATCTGACCAGAACCAGGAGAGAAGAAGAAACGAAAAAAAGGAGGAGATCTAAGTGAAGAGAAGCTGAGGGAAGCAGAGGAGGAAGAAAAGGTTAATTGAGGTTAAAATGTTTGCAGACTTCTTCAGGTTTTAGTTCCTCTGGTGTTTCCACGGACGCGTCTGAAACGATCCGAACAGCTGCAGTCGGTTTAAATCAGGTGTGTTCCCAGTCAGGCCCGGGGACCTAATGTGGCCCGAGTTCAAGTTTCTACTGGTCCACAGCCTCTGTGATAAAATCAATAAAAACTTCACCATAACACACACTTTCACCAGATCTAACCCTCTTTACAAAAAGTCTGGACCGGGTTGGTTTAAAGGTTCTGATGGGTTTTCAGCTTCTGGTTTGGAGTTCGATCTAGAAATCAGATCAAACGTGTTTTAGGTTCACTTGCAGAACTACAGGTACTGTCACACACATCCATTAGTTCTAATACATTAGTTATTTTATTTAGAATTGTGCGTGTGTGCGTGCGTGCGTGTGTGTGTGTTTGTGTGTGTGTGTGTGTGTGTGTGTGTGTCCAGCTGACAAGTGTAAAAAGGAGTGTGTTAAACCTGGTCTCTGCTGTATCAGCAGCTTCATGCAGTTTTCTCCTACATGCAGCCTTTTTATCGTCACTCATGTGAAGAAGCTTTGAAACTGTGCCAATGTGGACGGACACACACACACACACACACACACACACACACACACACACACACACACACACTAACCTGATGCTGCAGAACCAACCCTCACAGATCATTTACTGAGAACAGATTGTTTTCTACTCTGATATTTAGAATGATTTAAACTGAAGGAGGTGAGAGTCGCTTCCTGACATTTCCATGGAGTTTAATCTTCACATCAGCTGTTTGATCATTTTAATTAAATACAGGAAATAACAAACAGGAAGTAAAGACAGAAATACTGCGATAAAATTAAAATTATAACATTTCCTTCATTTCAGTCTGAGCAGATAAAACGTTTTGTTTCTACAGAAACCAGATTTTCTTATTATCCAACACCTAACCCAACAATTCCAATACCTAAACCAAAAAGACCAACACTTAATCCAACAAGACCAACACCTAGCCCAACAAGTGCAACACCTAACCCAACAATTCCAACACCTAATCCAACAAATCCATGACATAACCCAACAATTCCAACACCTAATCCAGCAAGTCCATGACATAACCCAACAATTCCAACGCCTAATCCAACAAGACCAACACCTAACCCAACAAGACCAACACATAACCCAACAAGTGCAACACCTAGCCCAACAAGTGCAACACCTAACCCAACAAGACCAACACTTAACCCAACAAGACCAACACCTAACCCAACAAGACCAACACCTAACCCAACAAGTCCAACACCTAACCCAACAAGACCAACACCTAACCCAACAAACCAACACCTAACTCAACAAGTCCAACACCTAATCCTACAAGTCCAGCACCTAATCCAACAGGTCCAACACATAACCCAACAACTGCAACACCTAGCCCAACAAGTGCAACACCTAGCCCAACAAGTGCAACACCTAACCCAACAAGTCCAACACCTAACCCAACAAGTCCAACACATAACTCAACAGAACTTCTGAAGTGTTTCTCCATCATAAATAATCCAGATTTTTTTACTGAAAAATCCAAGTTCTGTTTGAGCGGATTGGTTCAGTTAAACCTGTTCTGACCAATCAATGTCATTTTATAACATTTAGTAGCACAATAAATGAGAACTCTGTTGATTATTTAAAATTCTCCTTTCCCCAGCTGGACCCGTCTAAAGCTCCAAAGGTTTGATTTTCAGTTTGTTGTGTTGGATTTGATGAGGAGCAGCTCAGTTTGTTTATAATCTCCTCCTGACTGGAGGAGGATTTCTGCTGCTCCGCATTAAAAACATGGATTTGGTTTGCAGAGCGGAGGCGCAGCCGGCGTGTAGGTGACTGTAGGCAGAAGGCATCCAGTGTAAACCCAAAGAGCTGCATTCACAAAGATTTACAGGATTCTTTTTGTTGGAGCTTAAAGCATGTCGGACCAGCTGAGGAGAGCTGGCAGAACGTCAGAAATTCAACCAGAGAAAAAGACAACAACCACGATGCTTCTTTAATTCCCAGCTTTCTATTCAGAGCAGCTGACTGTCTGCTTCAAAGACAGAAAGTCAAAGTTTGTGTCAAACAGATTTATTGGAACACATTAAGTCTTATTTTACTGCTTTAATATTCATCCAAACATCAGCTTTTATCTCTGACACAGATATTAGATTTTATGTTTGTTAAGAAGGATTAAGTCTGATCATAAACAAATCAAAACAACAACCTACACACCAGAATGATTGTGTGGTTATAAAACATCCTTCAACAATAAAAATCTATTTCTGAGTTTCAAGCAGCTCCAATCAAAACGCTTTAAAGAGAAGGAAACGAAGCATGATTTTCAGAATAAAGGTCAGCGTAAACTGAGTTCAACAGCATAAAAATGAAAACATTTCAAATTTCAGAAATCAGATTATTAAAAAACCTGGCACTGACCCAACTGATTCCAATAACCTACACATCCAACCAGTCATTTCTTTAAAAAACTATGAAAAATTGTTCCTTTTCTGTTTCCACAGGTGTACCACAAGGCTCAGTACTAGGCCCCCTTTCCATTTACCTTTTTCCCTTTGGCCACAGCGTCAGAAAACACAATACACACTTCCAACGTTACGCAGATGACACCCAGCTCTACATCTCATCTAAACCATCCAGTATCTAACCACCGTCCTCCATCTCTGATGGTCTCCAGGAAATCAAATCTTGGTTTTCTGACAACTTCTTGAAAATTATTAACAATAACAGAAGTCCTCCTAATTGGTACCAAATCTACACATTTAAAACACACAGTTTGCCCACTGACAACTCCTCCATCTCCTCATCACACGCACTGAATACTTTCAAGTTTCACGTCCTGGAGGTCCGGACAGAACCGATCAGAACCAGAACAGATCTGGAGCTGAAGTTAAATCTCCAACACTCGTCTGTGGAGCTGCGGGAGATCCGATGTGGAACTGAACCAGATGGGGTTTGGGGGGGCGCAGAAGACCAGGAGCATGGGGAACACTGATAAGCTCATCATCATCACCCTCCCACACTTTAGCTTCTGAAGCTAACGGCTAAATAACACCAGAGGGGAGCCTTCACGTGGAGATAAGGCAGCAATTTCTCCAAACTGTTAACAAGCCGTTATCTTCCAGCCGACCCGACAGAACCGGCTCGTTGTGAAGCTACAGACCCACAATGTTGAAAAAGACCTGCAGCTAAAAGAGCGGAGCTTCTTATAAAAACATTACATTTATAAAGCTTCCAGGTTTTATAAAGAAACTTCATCAAACAGCTCTTTGCATTAATTAAAGATGATGAAGAGCAGCTGAACGGTGATGGAAAGCAGCTAAAAGATGATGAAGAGCAGAGTTTAGCTCTTCAGACTGAAAGGTGCAGAGCAGTGAGATCTGATGGAACACAAGAGGTTCAGAAGTGTTATTATAAAACTTTACAGTTCAGTTCATTAAACAGCTGAAGAAGAGCTGTTTGCTGCAGTGAATTCTGGGTAAACTTCTGTGCTTTTGTCTGGTTCTGGTCCAGAAGTCTGCTGCCATGTTGTTTTTAAAGGTCACATGACCTTTGACCTGCTGACTGGAGAGTGAGTGGCTTTAAAGGGATCCCCGATTAGTTGTAACATTAGACTTTTTTTAATAAACATATTTTAACTGTAAAATAAAGATTGTAAAAATACTGTAGCTGTTTAGTTTTTATCATTTTTAAACTAAAAGTTTAAAAATATATTTTAACATGGACAGGGCCATTTTATTTACATGCAAAGCATTCTGGGTAAATGATGACGTGGATAGGATAGGTGGTGGATAGGTCCTCGGTGTGAGCGAGCTATATCCACCCTGAAGGTTAATCTTGGACAATATCTGATGATCGACTCTTAAATGAAACCAGAGAGCGTTGACAGAGAGGAGAAGGTAGAAAGGACTCAACTTGTAACGGAAAATATGGATGGAGGACCTCAGTTTAGCTTGTTAGCTTTTGTGCTAGGGCTGAGCTAATACATATAAAAGGCAATGTAGCATCTGCGCTAACGTGAAAACTAACAAGCTAAGCTGAGGTGGTTCTTTTATAAAGCAGATCTGTTGTCCTCCATCCATATTTTCAGTTCCAGGCTGAGTCATTTCTACCTTCTCCTCTCTGTCAACGCTCTCTGGTTTCATTTAAGAGTCGATCATCAGATATTGTCCAAGATTAACCTTCAGGGTGGATATAGCTCGTTCACACCGAGGACCTATCC